TTACGCGCGCGCTGCACGCGTTGAGAGGTAGCAGGCAGGTAGGAGGGCCGGCGGCGGGGCGGGGTCGGAAAAAGGCAGGGTGCAGAGCCGAGAACCCTGAGATGGATTTAGGAGCCAGCCAAGCCAGCCAGCGTCGTCCAGGCGTCCCCTTCTGCCCGCCGCGCGCCACACGCGCACAGTGGGTGGACGCGGCCAAAACTCTTGACGTGTTTTCAGCTCCAGAGTCGCTAAATGGGACTCGAACTGAGCGTGTGACCCCACCAATGGAATCCTCGTTCGGAGAGCAATCCATTGTTGGGGTCACACGTTCGATTCGAGTCCCGTTTAGCGACTCTGGAGCTCAAAACGCGTCTGGGATTTTTACCGCCGCCACAGGTCCTCTAGCCCACTGCCGTGGCGCGCCACGCTGCACTCGCCTGGCGAACTCCAGGTCTCTAAGGTCTCTCAGGTCGAACCGCCTGGAAACAGCCAATGGCGTCTCATCGTGCCGGTTCTCCGGTAAGCTCCGGCCAAAACGGAGCCCTCCGGTTGGCCGGCCGGCGGTGGCTGTCTGCACCAAATGGAGCAAGCAACGTGATTTTCCTGGTCGCCGCCGGGCTGGCTGGCTGGCTGGCTGCCTGCCTGGCTGGCTGGCTGCCTGGCTGTCTGGCTGGCCAGGTTGGCCGAGGCAGGCGAGGCCAGTGGGTCGGACTTGGTCGGTACGCAGTCCGGTCAGGTTAACCTGCCTGGTAAATAAGTGACGAGGCCGGGCGGCTCGGCGTGCACGGCCTGGGCCACGGCCTGGGCCACGGCCTGCCCCGACACGCGGCCGCACCGCCGGGCGACGTCCACAGGGAAATTGCTGGCCGAGGCCGTTATTTGTGACTGAGCGGCGGCGTGACTGCAATGTGTGAAAGTGTGTCCGCCGCACCGCCGCAGTTAGCAGGCCCTGCCCCGCCCACAGTGGGCCAGAAGACCGGCACAGGCCGTCCCAAATTCCAGACGCGTTTTCAGCTCCAGAGTCGCTAAATGGGACTCGATCCGTACGTGTGACCCCACCAATGGATTGCTCTCCGAACGAGGGATCTATTGGTAGGGTCACACGCTCAGTTCGAGTCCTGTTTAGCGACTAGGGAGCTCAAATCGCTTCTTTGGCCGCCACCACCGTTTTTCAAGCCCACTGTGCGGCTGGCGCACTGGAAAAAAGAAATCTCTCGCCGAATTTCACGAGGAAGTTTTACAGTGATGCATGTTGAAGTCACGCTGCTCCGTGTTACGGTTCAGGGGTAGTTTTACATGGGCGGTTTTATACGAGGTTTTACGGCCCACGGGCACAACGAGTCCCCCCTCCCCCCACGTTTTCTTGGTCTAAGCAATCGGAATGAATGGCTAGGCAAGAAGGCACGCCCCCAAACACTAAAACTTGAATCGGTTACTGGCCCTGGTTGTGCGTGTGGGGCTTGTGAGAGTGCTGCCCGAGCTCCACTGCACCGGTGTGCAGAGTGACGCAGCGACGCAGCACAACGATGCCAGGGGGAGACTATACTGGGTATAGCGTCAAGAGCCGCGGATACACCGCAAGAACGGACTTAAGAGTTCATGAAGGATATGCCCCCATCTCTCTCCTTCTCCCTTCCCTCACCCCCACCCCCTCTCTCTCTCCCCTCCCCTTCTCTCTCTCTCTCTCTCTCTCTCTCTCTCTCTCTCTCCCTCCCCTCCCTCCCTCTTTCTCCCCCCCCTGGCCCTGACCAACTTTGTCCTAGTGTTTAACCCTTTTCTTCCCTTGTTTATGGACCCATCGGCTCGCTCCGCTCTCGGCATCATTTTGGCGTTGATGACGCCAATCGCCCCGTTGGCACGTTTACACGTTTACAGCCTTGCTCGCTCGCCTTGCTGCAGCAAGGGCCGCGCCACCCTAAGAACCCTGGACGGCCGCCCCGTCGGGACCTTCGAGCCTCTGACCGGGTCACTGAGGCTCGCCTCACCTGGTGCGTCGTCTGCTTCGTCCTACCGATGACTCGGGGCTTTCAGTGCCCAGCGTGCCTACGGTGCCCACACGGTGTCTCTACAGTGTCCACACGGCCCGGATGCACGCCTCGCCCGCGCAATATTTCACAGACTCTGCCCGGGCGGGCCACCACGGCCCGTGCTGTATCTGCGCGTGACCCAAAATGTGCCGGTCAGCAACGGCAATCGGCCGAGGCTGGCCAGGCCATGGCCGAAGATACACCACGCGCCAGCAGACTGATGCCGAGAGTCGTTTTCGTCGCTCTGTCTCACTCGCAGCTATACGGGACGCCCAATGGGTGCGAGAATGAAACCGGCTCTCCTCATTAACCAGCGCGGACGCTTCATTTAAACAAAAATTAAAATAGCGGAAAACAAAAAGCGGAAAAAACAAAACAAAATATGTTTTTCTTTACTGTAAGTCACGGATCAAATGCAAAACAGAAAGAAAGAGTCGGACAGCATTCTAATTTAACTGCGCCGCGCGGCCGTGCGTCAGCACTACGGCCAGCAGGCCGTCCCTTTACATTCCCCCAGGACGCCCGAGATGGCGGCACGCTGCCGTCTGGCCGAGCTAGTCCGCCCTCGGCCGCCCTCAGCCATGCCGCCATGCGATCGCAGCGCCATCTGGCTGCCCCAGACTCATTCCGAGAGTCGTTTTCGTCACTCCGTCTCGCTTGTACGTACACGGGACGCCCCATGAGTGCGAGAGAGACAGAGACAGGCTGGAGCGCCTCCAGTGCTGTCAGGCCCGGACTGGCCCGGGCCGCGGGGGCGCGATCGCGCCCGGGGCCTCGCGCGCGCGCGAAGCGCGGGGCCTTTCGGCCGCGAGCCACGGGGCCTTTCCACCGCGGGGCCTTCTTGGCCGCGGCAAAGTCGCGGTCTTTAACTATTTACGTACTTAAATCGAAGGGGTACCCCTTTCAAAATTTCTCAAGATTTCGCAGAATTTTGCGTCTAAATTATGCCCGGGTTCCGCGAGATTTTGTTGGTATTCCACGAAATTTCTGCCGATTTTACGCATGATTTCGGCAAATCAAGCGCATTTTTTGACCAACTTTGGTCCCAAATCGTTGCGGTCAAAGGCAAAATCGTTGTGGTCAACGTCTTCCCGATACAGGGCATGAAAGAGTGGGGTCTTAAGAATACTAGAACGTCAAGGGGAAACCTTTTGCGGCAA